CAGACGCTTCGTGTGCGTCACTCAACATCAACAACAAAATTCGGATTTTCAATACAAACGTCAAGTCATTTCTTCTTTACGGATCAGAAACTTGGCCAGTGGGTCACAAAGAATATTTCCAACAGGGTTTTTTTCCTTCACGTTCCCCAGTGGAACAAAAGGCTTCAAGCCAGAGGCTTGAAGTTTCTGTAGCAGTATTTATTTTACAGGATGGGGTTGCTAGCCTCATGTCCAACTTTTCCTCTTCACCAGCATTATTTCTGGCTTAGCGAGGTAAAGGAGAGCGTTGGTGGCCAGGGATGGAACCCCGGACCATGTGCATGGTCGGCGAGCGTACTATCCGCATTTCAAACTGTAGGTTTGCCTTAAAGAAAGTAGTTCAAATGTATCTACAGTTGACTGGTCGAACCGGGTATCGAACACCAGACGATGTGCATGGTCGACGAGCGTCCCAACCGCTATGCCACCGACGCACGTTCCAACAGGTTGCAGACCTTTATCAACAACTGTCTTCGCTCCACACTGAAGATCAGGTGGCCGGAAAGAATCACCAACAAGAAACTATGGGAAGAAACAAAACAAGAACCAATCGCCCAACAAATATGCAAGAGAAAGAAGTGGAGATGGATTGGACACTCGCTGAGGAGGCCGTTGGGTGACATCGCGCGTCAGGCCATCATTCGAGTGGAACCCGAAAGGGAAGCGGCGAGTGTGACGTCCAAGGGTAACATGGAGGAGATGGTGTGAAGAGGAGTTGGAACAGTATGGACTAACATGGATGCAAGTGAAAATCACAACAGAAGACAGAAGCAAGTGGAGACGTGCAGTTGAAGCCCTATATTCCACTAGGAACCCAAGGAAACAATAATAATAACAGACACTTCGGTACATCTTTTATTAACTTTATGAAGGTTTTTAAAGAGAAGAACTCAGAGGTCAGACTGAAGAAACAACTGCTCATTTTATGTGCCTCACTGGTTTGTTCACTTCATGTAATAACATACTCTTCACTGGTGCACAAACTTATATTAAGCTCATCAACTCGATGGTAAACAAGGATACGTTTAACTCTCTAGACACAACCATAAGACGTAAATAAGACGGTAAATACAAGAGATCCATTCAACAGAAGGCTGAGTGGAATCACTTATGTTTGGTTTTCAATAGTTGTGAGAAAATTGACGTAAACGCTGGTAGAGAACACCTTCCATCAGAGACAAAATGTCTACTCTAAAGATAGGCTTCCAATAAGAACACAAATGTGCCTTTGTGGTAGTAATTCATGAAAAATTCCCATTCAAACATTAATAGACAGAAGACCAGTAGTTCAGCGAAGAGTCTCTTTTTGGCGAATTCATTTTCATAGCTGTACAAAATCAAATATATATGGTTGTTTTGTATGTGTGTGTACGTTAAATTTGTCAAACGAAAATACGTTTAGTAAGTTCAGGTGAATTAAGTGTTGATATAAGAGGGTAGTAACAAAACGGTTACCCATCAAGATTCGTGGACAAAAACATCAAACAAAAATCCGAAAGCAAGAAACAGCATCTGTGCCAAAAAAGATACTTTATATGAAGCTCGACTTCAAGGGAGACCTACTCAGTGACGTCCTTAGAAGGAGAATCTCCACCTCTTTAAGAAGAACTTTCTTTGCCCCAACATTGAGAGTAGTCTTCTCTAGTCATCCGCTGATTTGCAGAAGCCCAAAAGACAAGATCCCACACCTGACCACTTCTATGTGTATAAATCAGTTCACCTGTTGTTGCGGAGCCAGGTACATCGGTCGTTCAACGTGTATCCTGTCAAAAAGGGTCAAAGAACACTATCCAGCGTGGCTACAGAAAGGAAGTGATGGCTGCATAAGGAGTGCAATAATAGAACACCTCGTCAACCCTGGTCGTTCAATCTCAACAAACGCCTCCTTCAAAGTAACCTACAAAATGAAGAACAACCTTCCAAATACAGTACGATTCCGTCTTCTTTGCATCGCAGAATCCCTAGCCATTAAGCTAGAGGAACCAGAACTATGCATACAAAAGAAAATTATTCAAGCATTTCTACTCCCATGGTAACAACTGTGTTGATTTGACTTAACTTTTCTTTGTTTGTTTGTTTGGTTTGACTTGGCTTTTGTTTGTATGCTTATTTTTCTACTTAAAACCCTTGTGTAATTCCATATGTTATTTTGTTTCCATGTACACCCTGAGTACAACTCTTTCATTAAACTATTCATGTTATTACGCAACTCTTCTTTAACAATCGTTTGTGACAACTCATCACTTTTGTTACTACCCTCTTATATCAACACTTAATTCACCTGAACTTAATAATTGTAATTTCGTTTTATTACGTAACTCTTCTTTAACAGTCGTTTGTGACAAGTCATCACTTTTGTTACTACTCTCTTATATCAACATCCAACTCACCTGAACTTACTAATTTTATTTTCGTTTGACAAATTTAATGTACACACACATACAAAACAACCATATATATTTGTGGTAATTGACAGGTAGAGAAATTCTCCCGTAAGCATAAGAATATATCAGTCATGAATACCAGTTACGATATAGTTGAAAAGCGTACAAAAAACATCCAGGGTTTGGAGGTGTTTAGTGTTTTTAAGCTTTGTCTGTTTGATTACACCCTGTTAGTCCCTCCGAAACACCCTTTTCCTTATTAAGTTTCCCATACTGCATTAGTAAGTCATGATTTTTAATTTTAATCAAGCTTCCACGTCAGCGTGTTACTGCTTATTATATCCCACCTTCACCTTCATTATTTATTCCCCTTTTTCCTCCTCTTCGAAATTTCTGTACACGCCTATACTGCACTTGATATCAATGTAGGGACTATCAACAGGGGGTCAGTCACACACTCACCTATCCCTGTTAGTAGACAAGTTTGTGTATAAATTATCTTACTTCACACTTACTTCTTTTATCATGTGGTGAGCAACCTCTTCCCTTCACTTATATCTCCTTCCTAGTTTACTCTCAAGGGTGAAATGTAGGCCATAAATTAATTATTACTAAAACATTTCACTTAATTATCTCATACGAGGCTGGAATTTCATCAGGTCATGTCAGAATTGTTCAAGAACAAAATTTATAGATTAACGAGAAAGTTTATATATATATATATATACATGTTTACATCTGCGGTCACCTATAGAAAGTGACACAGTGGAATAAATACTTTTTTTCGGGGCAGGTTTATGAAAATAGGTCAAGGTCAGAATAAAATGGTGCTTGAAAGTTAACTGGAACGCTGAAAGGAATGTTATAAAAACATTGCATAGAGAATTCAAATATTCAGTGATATCTATGTCCTGATCTGACGTTCATTAAATTGCTAAAGGAAGAAGAAAGCGTAACAGAGTAAATAAATACTGCAAGGTTTTCAAAAACCGATAGTAAAAAGTGAGCTAAATGAAAATCTCAGTGCATCGAGAAGCAGCTCTTTCTCATATTGAGACATAAGTGGAGTACGTAGCCATGACTCTACAAGGAAAGAAACCATAGAGTGCTGGGTTACTAGATGACCACATTGGCATTCAACCAATATGTTGTAATTAAATGGTCCATCCAGCTCACTGGAATTGAATTGGAATTTTCCCGACTTATTATTAACACGTCAAGAAGTACACCCTGAAGAGCCTTAACCTAAAAGTAAAACGCTGTCAGTAGTTTTTATCAGTGATTCTTCTCTAAAGGACAAATGCGTCGGTGGCACAGCGGTCAAGACTGTCGCCGACCGTGCACATGGTCCGGAGTTCGATACCCTACCGACGCACACCCGATATCTATGGTCGGCCTGCAAAATTTGGGCTACCGGTATCCATGCTGAAAATTCCATACTTGTACTGAAAATACGGTGTGGGATCAAGCTGTAATCAAAAATAATAAATAAATTGAAGTTTCTGAGAAAAAGATCACAGATTCTGTCCATTATGAATTTTGAAAATCACACATATTTATGCTCAACATTCTGAATGAATACGCAGTCATGCGTATCTCAGTGTGTACCGTGACGGCGAGCTACCTAGAATGGTGGCCACATTGCAAACCTGACTGATAGAATTCAGTCTCCACGGAAAGGAAAGGACTAGACATGTCACACTAGTTACTAGTGTCCAATAAAAATATCCATTACAGTCCTACAGGAGGTCAATCGCGAGCCCGAATAGCTCAGTGGTAGCGTCTCTGACTGCAGCACTCTTTGGATGATGCGGGTTCGAATCTCAGAAGGTTCATGAGTTCCTTCAAGGTTGCCGATCCGCCTTGCTGACTGACTGGTGAGTGCCAACTAGCACGAAACCTAGGTCAGTTTGGGCTTCCTGTGGCCGATTGCCTCCAACTATATAATATCATCAAATCAATGTGTACAGCGTGATGGCGAGCTACCTAGAATGGTGGTCACATTGCACACCTGACTGACAGAATTCAGTCTGCAGGAAAGGAAGGTCTAGTCACACTAGTTACTGACTAGTGTGCAATAAAAAATTTCAAGGCTCCATTGCATAGCACCAACTGATTGCTTGCACATCGTAGATGAAATTCCACTTTTTTCCTTCTGATTATCCTTACTACATAACAACACTTAACTGAATATTACATCGTAACTAACATTAAGTAATAAACGTGATCAGAACAATACCCATTGTGTTGAACAACTTTCACTCGCCTGAAAAGTGTGATAAAACAAAGCATTTTGTATAAAATGAAACAAGATGAATTAATTAATATATTTCTACTTTTTAATTTGATAATAGTTTAATTGTTTCTATGCGTACTTTTATTAAGATATTTCACTGTTACTCGTGCTTTTGCAATTAATTTAGTTATACATAATATACTTATTTAATAATAATAATAATAAAATATGTATTAATAATTATTCCTGGGGTAAAAAGAAACAAGTACTTTAACAGCAATCCTATTGTTGATTACATAAAAGTCTGTTTTATATAATATATAATGTACTTAGTGAATTAAAATGGATTTAAGGTCATTCAATAGACTATAAAAGTCAATCTAGTTTCATTGTAGTCAGCAGAAGTGTTAGTTTATCTCTTTCCGAATCACTGTATTTCTCTCCTGCGCAACAGCTAAAAATATGACACAAGAAGCAAAATGGATTGAAGTCTTCAATAAAATAGACAAGGATAAAAATGGGTCATTATCACTTGCTGAAGTTCAACAGTGCTTTAAAGAGATTAAAGTCGATCCCAAACTCGCCGAAGTAAGTGATCCTGACAGAATATATATATTCAAAATTCATGTACATTTTAACTCGGGAAACTGTTTTATGCGTGAGTCATAACATTTACCTATTCATTAGTTTCAATAGGAAAGTTTTTCTGTGAAATAATGCATCAAAGTAGTTAGGAAGTATTTTCGCATTCAAAGTAGGATTTCAAAACGATGCATTCGTGCTGTATTTAGATGTATTGACTTTCTGTATGAATAAACGGACTAATGTTGATTAAGATTCTTAGTAAGTAGAGCTGATGAATTTGAAGAATTTCCAGTCTGATGTCGGACGTTTTATTTGTATATAAGTAGTATAGCGATTTGAATACTGTCTAGCAGATATTCCATAATTATCCGTCACAGTGAGATGTGTGTACATTTGCAGTTAGTTCATTCGTACCCTTACTCCATTCATTCTATCTTTTTATGTACTGAGGACAATCAGAATGACAGTACTGGACAGCTGTTTCGTCCACCTAGTTTGGGACTCTTCAACTGTCCAGAACTCATAGGTTTTCCATTGGTTTTCTCTAAATGATGTCAGCGCATGATGAAATTCTCCATCCAGTCAAACAAAATCCCTACAAAACCAAATACTTGAAAAGCAGACTGATAATTTAAAAGTCTGATATGAATATTCAGCACAGAAGGAGGTTAGAAAGTGGTTATAGTGGGATACAGTTTGAATGTGTTGAAGGTGAAGATTCATAAATCAAGTTCCTTGCTACATCCAGTATTCATCGGAACAGGTTTATTTACCCAATTTCAGTATTCCGCTTTTACTTTAAGAAAAAGCTCAGCTCTAATGCCGTGATAGCTGATTTCCATGATATGAAGAGGACAGCCTCATTAACTGCATTCATGCATACAGTTTTAATTGGGTATACAATGTTATTCTAATAATTATGGCTATTTTAAATTCTATTAAGACTTTGTATAGCTGTTTTGTCCCGGTTTGGGACTCTTCATCGGTGCGCACCCACCAGAAGGTCCTGGCTACGGACCCTATGGGTGGGTGCGGATCGATGAAGAGTCCAAAACTAAGACGAAACAGCTGTGCAGCACTCCTGGGTTTTCCAGTGGTTCTCTAACTGATGTCAGCTCATAATGTAATCCTCCATTCAACCAAACAAAATCCCTACAAAACCAATATTTGTACATATTCACAAGTAAGTAAGTAAGTAAGCAATTTACTAATCACCTTCATAATACAGAAATTAATTAATTTTCTTGTATAGAATTTTATCAAAGAAACTGACGCTAATGATGATGGAAAAGTTTCCTTGGATGAATATTTAGGATATCTGAAGAAAGTTGACAAATGTAATACAGCGTAAGTCAGCTAGCTTATTGTAAAGGTGAAACCATTGCTTTTGTTTTACGTTCATATTTACTGTAAAATATTACTCAGGAACTCCAGTTGTTTAATCACGATTTTAGCAAACCAACACATTAAATTCAAGGCAGAATCACCTCTCTGGACCAAAGGCTTAAAATCATATACAAAGGATATTAAAAAATGAAGTCAAGAGCTGTGTTTCTTTGTTTGCCAGAGTCAAAAGGCTCTGTAGCTCTGAAAGGTCTCAAGGTCTACTGGTTTTCAAACACTCTTAAGTGTATCCGTCATATCTGCTAGCCGGGTGATAATCTCAGACATTCACAATTGTACTTTTAGTTTTGTAAAAAGAAAAAAACATTCCAAACAAATTAGGGCAATGAATTAAGCTTCCATAGGGCAGGACACATGCTTACAAAATGGTCATTTTGAGTGGAAAACGGGAGTCTGCCCACTCTTTGTCATACAAACAGATGTATGGAAATATGTGTATATTTTTTTTAATCAGTTTAAGTCAAACTGTTCACCATAGATATTGCATACAATAACCAATTCGTGGCTACTCCCCCTAATGATTCAGCAAACAGATGTTTAATTTTTGCAAACCTAGTCATCGAGGTGAGACAGCATTACCACCATTTAGTATTGTCAGGCTTAAATTATAATAAAGGTTTTTTGTATTTCCCAATGAATGAAAAACAAAACGATAATGTTGTTTTTACTGATGTTTCGCTATTTAATGCTAGTGGCTTATATACAACAACTTAATCATCGTTCTTCAGCATGAGGGCATTTTTGCGCTGTCAAATTGGTTATTTGGTAAAGATAACAAAACCAGGTATAGATTGTTGGATTTGATAAGTGTGTAAAATTTAAAAAAAACAGTCTGTGTTTACGTAATGAAATTGCTTATCACATTTGTGTTGATTTTGTCATTTCATGCAGTGAGGTAGGTGGGTGCTGTAGTCCATCAATCCTATTTAGACAATTTGGATTCCATTTGATATGAAGTGCTTCTGATGAAGTGAGATGTCCTTTGTGATTTCTGGAATGCTTTTCTGGATTATTTCAATACTGTCAAAATCATTTGTGTAGCCTGATTCTATTCTAGCATGTAGACGACCTATGGCTGATGATTTTTCAAGCTTTTCTAGTTCAACTGGATTAAGGTCTCGGTGGTCGAACAGATGCTTAACGGAAAAATGACCCCATGCTAAGGAACGACGATTAAATTGTTATATATCAGCTGAGTGGAGTTTGTAAATTCTGGTTTAATAATAATACTTTGATAAAGCTGTTAGCAGCAGCGTTAAGTAGCGAAATGTTTGTAAAAATATCAATATCGTTTAGTTTTCTTTTCATTTATTGGGAAATACAAAGAAAAACTTTATCATAATGAGTATCATATGCCGAATGACCAAATATTTTTCTTTCAAACTGTTAAAAGTGAACTTGCTTTGGACAATGTATAACTTGTCTAGTTTGCATTCCTTAAATGGACATGTTGACCTAACTGTCTGAGACGGCATTCCCCTTTGGAACTAATATACTTAATGAATTTCGTCATAAATTAATCGAATTATGATATTTGTTCTTAAGTATCTTTGATACAGCTAATCACAATGTTCTTCTCTCTTTGTTCTCCATTGTTGTTGTTGTTTTTTTTCCACAGAAAAAACCTGTTTTCTTATTGATTGCCTATTTTCTGTTTGGCTGTTTCCCATTTTCTATTCCGCATAGAATTGAAGGCTGGAAACGTGTATTTCAACAAATAGACAAGGATAATTCAGGAAAAGTCTCCATTAAAGAAATGGAGGAATTTACGCAAAGTAGCGGGGCTCACGAAAATCTAGAAGATTTGAGAAAGTGGATTGCAGAAAATGACAAGGATAAAGACGGTGAGATCAACTGTGAAGAATTCTTAGATTGTGTACGCAAATCTTGTAAATAATTTACAGGGTTCATTCACTGCCCTAAGCGTGAAAAAAACAGAGACAATGGGATTAAAAACAGTAGATTAACTTTCAGCTTAAAAATGTATTTTATTACTGCTATTATTATAATTTTTGCAAAATAAATAGATAAATTCTATCTTTATATGAATTTTTGATGTCTTCAAAAAAAAATAATAATATGCCAATATGAAATCTGGCTAACAAAAGAACCATAAGGTATATTCTAGTCAGTGTACTAACTGATATATGTCTGATTTCACAAAAAAACTGTAAGATATGCAAGTGTAAAGCAACAAGTTGGCAGGAGAAGCATCAAAGATAGGAGGCACTTCAGGTGAATGTTAGAGAAAACAGAGGTGATGAAGATTCCCGGGCAACACCACCAACAGCAACAACAACAACAACAGACAACGATCAGCATAAATGGAAGGAACCTGAAAGAAACAACCTCTTTTACCTACCTGATAAGCACTGCTTCAACTACAGGTGAACGGAACTGATGACGATATCACCAAGGCGCGGATTGAGAAAGCAAAACAAGCTTCCATTACTCTCAAGTTTGTGTGGAGATCAACAGCACTGCTCAGCGTGAAAAATGAGATCCGGACTCTCAACTCCAATGTGAAGTCAGTGCTACTTGCCATTCGGATCAGAGACTTGCATTGCGCGTCATAAAGACCACTTCGAACAAACTACACACCTTCATCAACAGCTGAATACTACTCAAGATCGAATGGCCGGCCAGAGAAGATCAGCAACAGGGAGGAATCTCTGCCAATCAGTCTAGCGGGAACCAATCGTGCAACAAATATGCAAGGAGAAACTGAGGTTGGTTGGTCATACTCTGAGAAAACAAACCATCAAGTGAGTGACATCACACGCCAGGCCATCGTTCGAGTGAAACCCGAATAGGAAGAGGCGAGTGGGTGTTCAGTGCGAGGGTGACATGGAGGAGGAGGAGGTGAAAGCATGAGGGCAGACGTGGAACTAGGTGAAAAGTTGGTGGGGAAGCGAAAGCGATGGAGACGTTCGGCTGAATCACTATGTTCCTCTAAGAACTAAGTGAAACAATAATAACAATACCTAGTGTATTTTACTGTTATAATGTCACGGCGTATTCGTTTTCACCCTGAAATTTCATCCAGCTTCTAGGCTTGTAGTTACTACATATCTAGTAACTGATCGGTGTTTAATTTAAATATTCCGTAGAATTCCTGTAAAAACCTTATTAATGCTTATTATTTGTAGGGCTAGATTTAGCATGAAACACAGTTAGCGCCCACTTTAAAAGAAAATAATTAAATATTCACCACTTTATGTATAAGGGTTTAAAATAAGATGAAGAAGACTGTAGCAAAGTTTTCGAAAGAAACACGAGTAGCAACCTAGACTTAATTTTAGGCTTAGATATTGATGCTGCATGTTGTGAGTAGACGAGTGAGACGTCGTCCGCCACTCGTCACCATTATTAGTTTTGCCATGTTAGTTTAAATCTCCAGTACAGTACGAGTTTCTTAAATCGTGGAAAATTCTCATTGTATCAAATAGAAAATCAAAACAAGTGATTCAGCGAAGAGACTCTTTTCAACGAATTTATTATCAAGCTGTACAATCGTATATATTACCATTATCGTTCAATAACCTGAAGGACAAGATCCCGCTGTTGACCAACTCTGTGTGTGTTTATCATTTCACCTGCTCGTGTGGAGCTAGGTATATCGGTCGTTCGACACGAGTTTTGTCTAAGAGGGTGCAAGAACACTATCCTGCATGGTTACGAAAGGGTGGGAGTGGGGCAATAAGAAGAGCGATCACTGAACATCTGGTCGATAATGATCACCCTATCTCTATAGCCTCCGCCTTCAAAGTCATCTACAAGGCAAAGAGTAATTTACCCAAATCCCTACGTACCCGACTCATCTGTATTGCTGAAGCCATCTCTGGCTATCGAAACAGAAAAGCCAGATCTCTGTGTACAGAAAACGTTTGTTCAACCCCTCCAACTTTCATGGTCTTAATCCCTCTGTGCTAAAGTATGGTAATCCCCAATCATATTTTAGCTCTACCAATTTTTCATTTTTGTCTATTCAATTTGTATCTTCTTTCTTTTTCCTTCACGTTCCCCAGTGGAACATAGGGCCTCAAGCTAGTGGCTTGAAGTTTCCGTAGCAGTGTTTATTTTACAGGATGGGGTTGCTAGCCTCATGCCCAACCTTTCCTCTTCACCAGCATTATTTCTGGTTTAGCGAGGTAAAGGAGTGCGTCTGCCGGGGTTCGAACCCCGGACCATGTGCATGGTCGGCGGCGAGCGTCCTAACCGCTATGCCACTGACGCAATTCAATTTGTATACTCTTCCTTATTATGTCAACTGTTACTATCACTACTCTCACTTTTAATTGTCCCCGGTATTATTTCACTTGTTCCACTTGTCATTCTAAATCAGTTCCTTTTTACAACATTAAATTCTATGCTATTAAATTCCACACAATATTACGTAACGTTTTTATTTTATTCGATTTGTCTACTAATCCTATAATTGCACACCTTTTCTCAATTTCCATCCACCCTATGAATTATTCTATATTTGACATTAATTTGCTTTGCCACTTGACATTTAACTACGATTATAATCACAAACATTTTAGTTTTAATTGCATTTCATACTAATATTATTATTATTTTATGCATTCACACCTGAGTATGAGTTTCACCAAAGTAGCAAAACATTTCGCCTTGTTGAGTGAGTTGTAATTTTATTTTTAAACAACTGTAAACAAACAGTATTGGGCTAACGAGTTTTGCAATTTATGGAAGAATAGTTAACTAGCAACCGTTTATGTATTTTTTAGGGTGTTTTTCCGTCATACCAGTGCTCACTAGACCTGTCCAATAACCAGTAGTGTTCCCCCTCCCCCTGAGATTCTTTCAACTGTTGGGCCTGCGCAACAACTACTACAGTAGATAACCCAAAATATGGAAACTGGATTTATTTTAAATTCGTAGATCTCACTGATGATAATATTTGTTAGAAGAACTACTCAGCGTTTTGCATAAGAGCTCAGAATTATTAGGAGAAGTGATAAGTGAACTACCATTGAACATGCGAAGAAATTTTTGCATTGATGTGTCTTCGAACAAAATGATTATGCCCTGATATATTTTGTTTCTTACCCTTCCCAGTTGAAAATAGAGCTTCAAGAGTGAGTTTCGAAGTTTCAGTAGCAAAGGTGTTTCTCTTAAGGGATGAAGTTGCTAGGTTCACGCCCAGTCTTCCCTCTGTACGGAGCTTACCACGGCCTAAGCGAGGTAGGAGAGTGTGTCGGCACCGAGAATCGAACCCTGGACAGCTCCCTGGTTGGCCGGTGGATACTGGCTCGTAAAGATTAGGATCTCCAGTGTCTTTCAACGACACCTTAATAATAATTTGCTTTATTCCAAAACAGTACTTGTGATACAGAATGGAATTCTCAGCATTTATACTACAGTAATGCATCCAGTTAGTACATTATCAATAAATAGAATTCTACATGGATTAAGGAAATCTCAGTTCATTATGACAACAACCTATTGGCATGTCGGTAGCAAAGCCAAAGTTGAACAGTGTTTGAAGGTGTTAGAAAAGTAGGTGCTATCATATTTACTGGCGTAAGCCGAAGAAAGAAACAAAGCAGCACATAACAGAAAAAAAGAGAGAAAGACAAAAGGGAAAAGAAAGAAAGAAAACGATGTACCTATATATGAAATGAGTTGGAAAGACGAGATCCAGTTGTTCTACTGACTATTTAATGAATTATAGGTGTCACGCCTAATGCTTTCTTTATCGCACAGAACACGAGCTAAGTAGGGTATGGTTGAGTTTTTGTACTTGCCAGTGCGAGCATATAGCTTTCTTTATAGGCTTCTGGTTCTGCCCGATGAGATATAAGGGGAGAGTTGTGAATGAAGGGGGTGGTGTGAGTTAGACAGAATGGATTCAGCCCATTTTTCACATGAGTCCATGTGCCTGTCAACCAGAATATTAACAAGCTGGTTAAGCGGCACGTTGCTTACCCTGCTGACCACCTTTAACATCCTGCGTAATAAGGTATAGTCTTTCTTCAGTAGCCCTGGAAAAACTAAGGGGGAACAATAGAGAATAATAGGCAGGATGCAAGAGTTAACGAATTGTAGGAATAAGGGTTGGGAGTAGGGGTTATCCATGTAGACTAATTTCGTACAGCCGTACTAGTGTGGCGGTGATTAGAATGCTGTGTTGCGACTATGTTGGGATACTATTATCAGTACTTGAAATACTCATTCCATTGACACATGAAAGTTCTTTTTATTCCTTTAAGTTCCTAGTGGAAAATAGAGCTGCAAGCATGAGTTTTGAAGCTTCTGTAACAGTGGTATTTATTTTTATGGGATGAGACTGCTAGTCTCATGCCCAACCTTCGCTCTTTACCAGTCTCACTATTGGCTTAGTGAGGTAAAGGAGTGCGTCGGCCGAGGATCGCACTTTCGGATCAAATGCGAGGTCGGTGAGCATTCTACCACTGTGCCACCGACACACAAAGCAAATCATCACTTATTCAATAGCATTTATTTAGTGCTTGTTAAAGTGTGTTGCTGTATATGATCACTTAAGCGAATGAATTCACATTTGGGTAATACATTAATTTTCTTTATTTTCCGGTTTCTCTTCCGTAAAAAGAATATTGAAAACATTTTTTTCCCGATACGAATTTAAAACAAGCAACAAAGCAGGTTAATAAAGCAGGATTTAATGATGGGTTCATCAAATTTCGGTAGAACTCCTCTCCATCTGAATACTCTACATACACGGATATATACTTACTATTGAAATTACATTGGGAGATATAAGACTGATAAGCAAATAAACTAATTTAAATTAGTCATACACAGGCTTACCCAATTCGAGTTTATAAACCAGGTCTCTGTGTACAAAAGGAGGTGATCGTCACTCTGAATCTACCATTGCAATACGTTTTACTTATAATTCTACCTCATTATTATTATTATTATTATTATTATTATTATTACTGATTCCCTTAAAACTATCTTTTATGAGTAGCATTATCTTAACTCACTTCAACATTATTATTATTGTTATTATTACTATTATAACTATTACTATCGAT